CCGTTAGCATGCAGTCACAAATGACAACGGAAAGTAGTATGAAAATCGGGAAAAGACCACGTATCATAGGTATAGAAGGGAACTACAGCTGAAATCTTCGAATCAGGCATTTGCTTATGCCACCCTGTACCCGTGCCATGTACTTTACTACGAGATTGAATGTTGCCAACCAAGCTCTCGTTTCCCACTAAATCTAGCGTCACCGCAAACTTTTTTTTGTTTTGTTTTTGAGTTACTTTGGCGCAGTGTGGCGCAATTTCAACCGATTTCGCCTTTTCGCCGCAACTAGGCACAGAAAATCAGGTTTGTATCAAAATGGCACAACTGGCGCAGATGTCACACCCCTGAAAGCATGGCCATTTCCCAGGTCGACACCACCACTCTCCTGCAACTTGAAGTTATGCTTGAATGCACCACAATGAAGCAGGAAGCCCTTCTCACACTGCCATAGTACACACTAGTTACACCGCCATTACTAAAGCCAAAATGTGAATTACTCTACATACAGCTTTGCAACTGTGCAGCTAAAAGCCACGCGGCACTAGTTCGCAGATCTTGCTCGTTGGTCATTCTTGTAGAGGAAGATGGTCTGCGACTCCCTCCAAACAGCTAGCATGTGATGGTCGCTGACGCAGATGTTGGCAAGTCAGGTGACCGAGCCAGCTTGCAACAGGTATTGAAAGGCACACTGCTGCTGCTGTTGACGCCAACGCCAACACCTCACAATCACTTCACTTCAAAATCACCAAGCTTTCAACACTGTGCAAAGACATTGAAAGACACGCTGCTGCTCTTGCACCAACACCTCACAGGAGCACCAAACTTTCAAAACTGTGACAAAGAGTTCAAATGCACGCCACTACTGTTATTTGTTAATGCTGACACTTCACAAGACCGTGCAGCTTTCAACACCGTCGTAAGAAGGCGTTTAAAGGCACACTGCTACTGCCGCCAGTGCTGGCACCTCACAGTCACTGCACAGGAGCACACAGTTTTCAACACTGCAAAAAGGGCCTTGTCGCAGTGTTCACGGCACACCACATCCACACAAGACTGCTTGCTGACCATGGAGGTGCGACTTGCCACGGATCGCAAAGATAAACCCTCAGAACTGCTTCAAGGACATCCCTCCAGATGGAACGCACCCTTGGAAACAGCAATTCAACGCCGTTCATCACCAGGATCCTGTTCAGAATGAGCAAACAGAAATATGAGACTTCCAACAAATACCAAACTACATCGCACACATCACTCGCGACGCACACTTTGATCTTAGCCAAAAGGCCGAGAAGCGATAACCCCAATTGTCTTTTAATTTCAAGTCCTTCGGGACTTGAACCCCAAGAGCACATACCACCCCGTCGGGAGGTAAACAAACGTGCACGGCTTCCCAGCGCCAAAGTAACACTGGTACGCTCTTCCGAGGTTGCGTCGAATCAAATACAACTCTCTGACGGTATATAATCTCGAAATGACCCAATTAAAGCGGAATTAATTAAAATAAGCCCTCTAGACACGACGTCGACGACGTACGAGAAGACCTCATCGCCACCTCTCGACTCGCCAACAAACTCCTAAGGTGTACCGCAAATCACAGGAAATCCACATAAAACTGCGAGAAAAACATTTCAGATTAACATATGAAGCACGATAATAATCAAGCACAACATGTATTCGCCCAGGTTCAAAATCCGGATGTCTCAAACTGCTTCCGGCGAAACATCGTCTGCTATCACAAATGGCAGACGATCACGTTCGTCCACAAACCACCACAAACCGAGAGCACGGCTGGCAAATACCAACACTTGAGAAAAGATCCAGTAACATGCATCAAGAGGAAAACACATATATTCAGTGAAGCGAGGACCCGGGGTTGATGGAAAGCTTCTGCCCCAAAAAAGGCATTCACCCAACATTTAAGTAGCGGTTCATTTAATTTCAGTAAGAACTTTTGGAACTTTGACGTGCAATACGGATGTGGACAGATATGTTCGCCCGACTTGGGAACGTCGAAGCGCCGGTAACACAGCTGAGAAACCAGTGAAACCTTCGAGCTTGATCGAGAAAAACACTCGTGAATGCTCGCGAAGACGACGCCTTGACGACGCGGACCCAGCCCACCCAGCCAGTCAGCGGTTGTGAGCGGTTTGCACGAGATGGCGCCAGCGTCGTTGCGGCGCTTTAGTTCGCCACTCATTCACTAGATGGCCCTAGTCGCCCGTTCGGTCGCTCTGTCCCTATTTTAAAAGGCGGGTAAATCGTCTTAAATCGCACAAAACAATTATCGCGTGCAGAAAAACACACCTACGATTCAGCCGAAACGTCAGTGAAACGTAAAGAAACACGCAGCCTAGCCGACGAACGACTTCTAAACGAAGGAAGCGACGGTTCTCGAACACGAGCGCGCGCACAAAGAACAGTTCAGCACGGCACCAAAACCACGCTAAAAACTCCCGACATCTCGTAGAATCGTGTACGAGGAAAGTAAAACGCTGGCATTCAGAAATTACCGGGTGAATAAAAAGAACGAAGACCCAGGCCCAGCACGGCAACAATAACAAATGACTGTCATTAGGCCTACCTGTCATCGTCGCCTCCATTAAACCCCCATCAACCACACAGACAATAAGGTAATTAAAGAGCTCAGCCGCATCTTAGAACATGAACCACGAACAGCCACAAACATGTAGACACTACTCGGTTCTCGACATTTAAATCATATCACACGCATTACGGCCGTAACGAAATATAGGTACTCACAAACTGTTCCCCAAAGCAGCAAACCTGACGAAGAAAGACAAGTGACGCACATGTCGATTAAACAACCGCAAGGAGGCGTCGGGAACGAAAGAAAAAACAAAAAAAAAGAGAGAGAATGACACAGAAAGCGCCAGCACGTGGAGAAGTCAAAGGGGAGGGCAGTTATGTGTCACGCATTCTGCCATCGGTTCCGTTGTTCAGGCCACAAGCTTAGCCTTGAAAGGGAGGTCACGCTTTTGTGCCGAAGGGGAGATGGGTGGAGGGGACAAAGCAGTAAGGGGTGGGACGGTGGGGAGACCGGATTTGGGGGCGCTTCGTTGGGGGGTCTGATTTCTCGCTAACAGCGTTTTTTTTTTTTTTTTTTTTTTTTTTTTTTTGTTGTTGGATTTACGGAAGTTCGAACGCAGGGGAGACCTTTTTTGCTTTGAACACGCCCGCTCGCTTGCTCTTTACCAGAAAAAACAAAAATCTCTTTTTTTTTTTTTTTTTCGCTTTAGAGAGGGTTTTGGCTTATCTTTTTGTCCCGCCTTGGGAGTGCGGTGCGTGCGTTCGGGATGGACTGCTGCCTCTTTAAATTTCGTTTCTGAGGGTGCATGCGTCCGTGCGTGCGTCTTTACCCCTGCGCGTATGTGCGCGCGTGTTTGTGTACGCGTATGTGCGTGATGCCAAAAGTGTCTGTCACTGCGCGCGCTAGCGTGGTTCAATTATCTCTGGATAAGGGGAACAGAGGGTACAGCGTTTACCCTGAAGTTTCGCGTTTTTGCCGGGGACGAGGGTTTGTCTTTCCCTGTGAAGAGGGTCACACGGCTCTTCGTTCAGCGTTCAAATTTAACGGGATACGGCCCATTCGTCACATGTCGATTCGTCATAGGGCAACTGGTAACAGGCCCGCTCGTCACAGCGGAACATTCGTCATCGGATGATTCGTCACGCCGGCAGTTCGTCACACAATGACCCCACCAGGCGCGTAGCCAGGGGGGGGGGGGGGGGGGGGGGGGGAGGGGGGGGCAAGGGGCCCCGCCCCCCATCCACCCCCCCCCCCGAAATCTTCCATTTTGCTGGGATCTCCTCTCCCCCCTCCCCCTCATACAGCATTTTGTCATGGGTGCCCCCCCCCCCCGAAACAAAATCCTGGCTACGTGCCTGGACCCCAGGATCGTTAAACGTTTTTTTCTATTTCGTTTTCTTAGGAAAGTTGCGAAAGGAGAACGTTTTTTTTTTTTCTATGTTGTGTTCTTAAAGAAGTTAGGAAGGGGGTCACCCAACCAAATCCGTACAAGGTCAGTGTGGTTGATTACTGTACGAACGGGAACGAAATGACCCCAATGACCCCAAGATAAGGCAACATGCAGCCTTTAGCCTACATGTTGTTTCATCTGGGTAAAGCACATAAATTTCACAATAAGAAAAAACCACCAGACCCAATCCCCCCCCCTTTTTTTTTTTTTGTGCCCCGCCACTGGGCTTATTGTGCCGGTTGCTCTTGGATTATAAAAGACGGGTCTCTTTTGCTTCCCAACTCACTCTCGATTTTTAAATGGAGGTTGTTACTACTAGGAGACGTGGCGATATGCTTCTTCACGAAGGGAATTCCTACACTTGCATTAAGGTTAATGAAACTACGTTGTATTGGGCCTGCCGGCAAAGAGGAGTTTGTAAAACTAAAATAGTCAGCGATCATGCCAACAGTCGTGTAATCTCTCATTGCAGTGACCATACGCATGCCGGTGACCCCACTGAGATAAACGTGCTTCGGGTTCGTCATCAGATAAAGGAAAAGGCTGGTATGTACCCAAATTTGTTCCTGCTCTTATATTCCCAATACAAGTTCACTAACGTCCTTCTTTATTCCAGTGGAAGGCCGTCTAGCACCGCACCAAAGACTTCAGGATGCGGCTGCCTGTGTCAGTGACGGCACTGCATCGCAGATTCCCGCACCACCAACACTTCGGCGCACAACCCGCAAGCAAAGGCAGCGGGTTAATTTCGAGTTCAGCGTACCATCTTGCAGAGCCGACATACGAATGCCCACAGAGTTTAAGGTAAAGTATATTCCGGCGCAAAATCACAGTGCGCAACATATGATAATAATGACTGTTTTATTTGCATGCAGACCACAGCCAAAGGAGATTCCTTTCTCCTCCACGACAGCGGAGAGGGCGACAGCGAAAGAATCCTGATCTTTGCTAGCGAACGCAACTTGAGCTGTCTGGCTAAGGCGACTACGTGGTTCGCGGACGGGACCTTTAAAGTCACCCCGGCACAGTTTTACCAACTGTACATGGTGCATGCCACAGTCAATGGCGTGGTAGTGCCAATGGTTTACGGCTTGCTGCCCAACAAATCTGAAGCTACCTACAGAAGGTATTCAAGAGCTCTGATAAACGCATAAAACGAAACGCTCAGTGGCCCTGTTATTAGATATGTGTTCAAGCGCTTCAAAATATGTTCGCTCTTTTAAGGTTTTTCGACGTCTAGCTGATCCACATGGGGCCCAACTGCCTTGAGGTGGCTTACACGGACTTCAAGATAGCGGCCATCAACGCGATAGAAGTCTTGATTGCCGGCGTTAGGATACAGGGATGCTTTTTTCACTTATCCCAGTCGGTGTACAGGAAGGTGTGCTCCAGTGGTCACCAGAGTCGCTATAAAATTCAGATGAAGAGTTTGCTGTTCTAGTATGCGGAATTCTATTTATATGCCTTATTGTTGTCTTCAGTTAAGCCAGTTGGTACCTTTATCTCTTGCGGATTTTCAGACGAGAACGCTTCTAGCATTGGCCTTGTTGCTAATCGCCGACATTCCCGAGGCCTTCCAGAACCTTCTCGAGGTTTTCCCCACCGATGCCTCACTCGTGGCGGCCTACTTCGAGAGAAGTAGGCCGCCACGAAACGGCTTGTCATCGGCCACCTTCCCTCCTCTGGTTTGGTCAGTCAGAGAATCAACACTAGCGGAAATACCAAGGACGAAGAACAGCGTCGAAGCATGGCACCGGGGACTGCAGGTAAGAACTGATCTAATCCTCTGAGAACTTTGAAGTTTTCTGTAGCACATTTTGGTATTTGTGCAGAAATGCTCAAAATTTCAGTACGGTGCCCACCCAAAAAGCTTTCTCCACGAGTGTGTGTGTTATTTTTTCTTTTTATGCCAGAGCAACGTGGCCTGCAGTTCTCCCAATATCTGGGCGTTCCTGGGCTGCATGAAGACAGAGATGAAGCTGGCTCAAGCAGAGGGAGGCACGACATCTTCGAGGGTATCGAAGAAGCACGCCGACTGCAACCGGCGTCTTCGGATCATTGTGAGCCGCTACGATGGTAGCAATCGTCTTGAAACCTTGAGGGCGGCAGCTCGGAACATCGCTTTTTAATTCGTTTTTATTTCGCTCAATAAACCTGTTGTTTTCTAAGTACAACTATAACTTCTTTGGATGTTCCCTCTCTTCGGTGAAAATGAAATATAACGTGAATATAAGTTGGGCAAATTTGAATATCCGGTTCGCACAGTGCCAATCTTTCCTAGTGACAAATTCCCCTCTGACGAATGTTCCGCTGTGACGAACGGGCCTATTACCAGTTGGCCTATGACGAATGCGCACATGACAAACGGGCCTACACCCAAATTTAACCGGCCCTACCAGCATTTTTTTTTTTGTGATGGTTTTAGAGTGGGAATGTGACCGCGTGCGCATATCAGGTAACAAAAAAGGAAATCCTGATCACACACGAATGACGCAAACACGTTACCTTTGAGAATTTTGTGCCCGCGATTCTCCGTTTCCCTGGTAGCAAGACGGCAAGATGCAACCAAATGTCCTGGTTTGCTGCTCAAACTGTCACACCTTTAAGCCTGGTTCAGACAGTTGCGTTTGACTGCGTTTGACTGCGTTGCGGCAGCGAACATCCCTGCTGCTTGCATCGCGTGCCAAGATGATTCCTTGAATTGGATTTCATGCTTCAGTAGAAGCACAGATGTGCCGGTGACTCGCTTTCGGTACTCGACGCAACGCAGTCAAACGCACTCAAACGCAAGTGTCTGAACCGGCCTTTACTCGTTCCTCCATAGTTCCGCCAAACGGTATTTGGTTCCGCAGCCGATGCTACAAGCGCGAGCTCCGGGCTTTCAGGGTTTCTGCCAAGCACGCGCGCTCGACAGTGCAAGCATTGCTCAGGGCCACATGCTCGCGCTTGTACCATCGACTGTGTCTGGTCTACAGCTGAAACAAAGTACAGTGCGGACAGTGGCGTAGGCAAAGGGGGGGTTTGGGGGGTCGAAACCCCCTCCGAAACGCCAAACCCCCCCCCCCCTCCCCACCCAGGGGGCCCGCTGGCTCCCCTGCTTACGCACTCGGTTTTGCGCGGGGCATGGAACAAAGGGGGAGCGCGGACTATCCCCAACTTATATGTTTTCGGGAAGAGTGTTTGTGGGGTAGAAAATGCTCAAATAAAAAAAAAGAAGGCCATATTCCTTCACTCGTATATATTCAATGGGATGCGGAACTTGTCTCAGATATATAGAGAACGGATATTTCGAAACTTGTTATTTCCGTCGTATGCATGTTGATGGTGGCGATCAAGGAAAAAAGCTGTATGGCACAGCTTGACAAGTCTTTGACAAATGAACGAGAAAAAAAAAATACAAATCTAGATTACCACAATTTAACAAGGCGTGTTTCGAGCATAATATATGTGACGTATTTGCAGACAGAAGTTATGAGACCCCAAAAGTTTAGTTCATACTCAGATTCATTTGGGGAGAACATTAGTCGAATTTTTCTAAGAGACAATGTACTGAATTCCAATCTTCTATCTCCAAGTAGGTTAAGTGTTTTGGGGATAGTATGTTTAAGCATTTGTGTTCCATAGTTCGTTCTTGCAGTGACCACCTCCCAACATTCCGCACGACGGGTAGAACACGCGTGAATATTTTCAGAGAGCTGTATAAGGTTTATCAAAACGTTTGAACCCCTAATTTGTTCTAGTTTTAGATTAGTCACACGTCTACACTAAGTAGAGCATGTATATTGATAACGCGAAACTTCTTAAATAAACTAGCCGTGTGGAAGTCGAATTTAACGCTTTTTTGTTTTTTTTTGCAACAAGTGTATATTTTTAGATTCATTGAGTTTGTTGTACTTCAGACTAAATTACAACAGTTTATGTGGGAGTAAAATAACGAATTGCATATTAATAATTTCACCTTTGCTGGTAACATGTATCGGTGACGGTTTATCACACCTACTACTTATGACAGCTTAGAAACTAAGGTAGAGAGAGAAACAACTTTAATGGAACACCACATCAAGAAGCCGCATGCAGGATAGAGGTTTACCTACCGCGGCTTCTCAAAAAGAAAAAAATTCTGTTCCCGAACTAAAAAGGAATGCATGCGAGGTGGCTTTTCTCTGTTCTGGAAGGGATGTATGTACATGCACCGATGTTCACGCCAAGTCAAACGTCGGGTGCTCGTTCGCTTTTTGTAAGGTCTTCGTGACTTCCGTCGCTATCTTGTCCGCTCGGGAGACGACTTCGGCTTGGATGTGTGGGTCCGAGCTTCGGAGAAGCACAGCCCAAGGGGGATCCAGCGGGTCCTCTTCTCCTTCTCGAAGGTGAGCGACGAAGTCCCGTAGAGTAGGTGAGGGAGGGTCGAAGGGACATTCCCAAAACAAGTGTGCGATGGTGCCCTTGGTCGGGCCAGTCCCCCCGTCGGCGGGGTCTGGTGGCGGGCAGCGAGCGCACCTCCCGTCGAAGACGGTTGGATAGATATGCCGCAGAAAGGCCGGGCAGGGGAGGGTATTTGTCTGCAGCTGTCTCCACCTCAGGGCCTGGAACTTGGTGAGACTTTTGTCGGGTGGTGGATACAGTCTGCGTTCTAGGCGGTAGTGTTGCAAGATCTCTTGGAACACCGTCAGGCAGTCCTTGGTAGTTGACATGACTATCCCATGACATATTCTCAGTAAAGATGACACTTACGAGCTTGAAAGACTTTACAATCTCTATTTTAGGCAATTTCAGAACGATATTTCTTGTAATTGTGACTAGCTTATGTTCTGGGCTAAACAGCACTGCTTTTGTTTTTTCTACGTTGATTTATAATGAACTAATACGACTCCAAGTTGCTAATACATATAACACCTGATTTGCCATGTCAAATAGCATGTCGCCATTTTCAGCTGAAAAAAAAAACAAACAAAAAAGACTAGAGTCGTCGGCATAGCTGATAAATGTTGCACCAGAGTTAATATTCACAATGTCATTAACGTAAATATTGAAAAGAAAACGGCCTAATATACATCCCTGTGGAACAGTGCAGTAAGAATACGCTTCGAACTTGACGAATTTTCATCAATATAATTGCATTCGATGCTGTAAGTATATAACTTCACTCACTGCAAAGCATGCCCTCGAATCCTATATGTATCCAGTTTTGCTAGTAAAATTTCATTATTGAGGCAATTAAAAGCCTTTGTGAAGTCTATGAATGGTCCAAGAACAATTTGTTTTTCTTCAAAGTTTTCAAGATGAATTCTTTCTGGACGAGTAGTGCAGCCTCGGTAGATTTATAAAACCAAAATCATATTAAGCTATGGTTAGTTTAAGAACTGGTCATACCTGTATAAAGTACCTTTTCAAGTGATTTAGAAAATACGGGCAATATAGAAATCGGTCTGTAATTACCCATAACATTTACACTACCTTTTTTGTGTAGTACTGACAGGTTTGCTATTTGCATTCATTGAGGAAAAACACCAGTCATCAAAGAAAGATTAAATATATGCATTAGCACTGCACTAATAAATGAACGACATAATTAACAGGCCTTATTTGTAAACCATCCACGTCACAAGTTGCACTTTCCTTAAGTTGTAAAATAACATTAATGACCTCAGGTTCTACAACCGGATCTCAAAAGACCGAGCTGCTGTTTCTATCATCAAAAACGCAATACTTAACAGTAACAACTCCGCTTCCAATATTTACAAAATGCAGGTTAAAAGCGTTCGCCAAAGAACATTCGGTTAGTTCAACACCACTACGCGCTATTTTATTAATTGAAATAGATGTACGGTTTCGATTTTAAAAAGAATTTTAACTCCTTCCACGTGACGTCCGTACACCCCTCCGATGCCTTGAACACCTTGAAGTGGCAGCGTTCCTTAGGACGCCGTAAATTATGACGAAAAAAAAAGTAACTGTCGCGGTGAACATGCAAAAACGCTAAACCGAGCAGTCGCTCATTCGAAGTGGATGCTCTCAGTTTTGTCGGTTACAATAAATCAACAAAGAGGGGAGACACGTCTTTTTTTTTTTTTCCCGTATCATGGGACACGGAGACAGATCACTGCTTCAAGGACGACTTCGTCTTGAAGCAGATAATAGGTCTCTTCAAAGGCGAAGATTTATACGCCCTTGAACGGACGTGCGTTCATCACTGCACCTGATGATCAAAGGCTTTAAAAAGTGTCGTCAGTGCTCCCGTTTCTTTTTGGCCACATTAAAGGAGTCATGAAACGCTTTTTCAACTTTTTTCTGTTTAGCTTTCCTCCTCAACTCATAAATCGCGCATTGTACCAAACAGTTCAAGAAGTCGGAAAGAAGGGAGTCCCCTCTTGCTCGGAATCTTGCTTGTGTAGCCCGGACACAGCCATTGTCCCCCTAGAAGATTAGCCCGTCGCTCAAAATTCCGACTAGTTGCTTTCCCCACCCCGTTCACCCCGAAGCTGACAGTGCTGTGGAAGCTACGTGCTCGTTGGGCCAGCCACACATTTTCCACGTGATCACGCCCTCTCGCGCATACCGACCCGCAGAGAATGAGGTCAGGTGATGAAAGGGAGGCGGCTGATTGGTCCGGCAAGCGCGTAGCTTCCACCGCAATGTCAGCTTAGGGGTAAAGGGATTAAGTGAGGTCCGGTGTCGTGTGACGTGCGCTTGGAACCTGGTGACGCGCTGCGGGGGCCCGGTTATAGTAGCCCGGTGACGCGCTGCGGGGTCCGCGGATGTATCACAGTGAAAAGGCGGAGAGTTTACGAAGGGAAGGAGGTACGAAATAGTCCGCTATGTTTTGCAAATTTTTGTAGCGAAAGTCAGGCTTCTGACTTTCTACCTCTGTTCTTTTGGCCCACTGAACGATGTGCTATTAATAAAATCCCAATATAAATTGATTTACTCCAGCCCGAAATTCGTTTCATGGGTCCTTTAACAGAGGTCAGCATTTACTTTAAAAAAAAGAATAGAAGGTGACAAAACAGGTTTCTTCCTTTTATATATGTATAAGTTTATAAATGATAAATAAATATTAAAACACTGCTATCCTCCCGGCAATAAACAGAAAAATATTTCCTAGACGTAGAATTGCTACTGCTCAAGTAGGCGGCGTTCGATG